TCAGCTCTAAATGGAATTCTACCACAAAATGCTAAGGGGGGGAGAAGCCTTTTTAGTCTATGAGGGCTGCGTTTATTAACTCTCACTGATTTCACATGTTCAGAAATTTCTTATTTGTTACATGCATCACGTTTGAAATGTGCATGCCTTTCTTTTTTATTTGCTTGGTTTCTTCTTAAAAACATGAAAGCAAAACGAAACCATGCAATTCAGATAACACTGTGTAGCTTTTTATTTTGAATGTCTCCGGAATGACAGGCAGTGAATTCCTGAGTGAAGAATATTGGAGGGGATATGTAGGTTTGTGCTCATGTAGCAGATGCCTGGAAAGTTATGCCAAGCTTGAGGAATATACCCCTCTTCAGAAGCTATGAACCTGAAATATTCAATGTCCTCACCACTGGCCCTACCACCCAAGAATTCTGGGAGTTACACTTTGACAGAGACTTTAGGTTCCCCATTCCTGGCTTATGTACTGTACATGAATAATGACACCCATCTTATAGAAGGTTATTCATGAAACCATTTGGAATATCTAATCTTTTTCTAATGAAGTAAGATCTGGCCTTGGATTTCCTTGACATACTTTTTTTTTGGGGGGGGGGGAATCCTTGAAGCCATTTTTAACCCTCTGTTGCCACTTCCTGTTCCTTTGCATGAATGCAGCAGTACAATCATAGTTAGCAAATAGTGTATTTTGTACTATTCACTAAATAATTCACTCTGGTGCAATATTGCAGTGTTGATGTTGTGGCATGAATGCTAGCAAGGTCTGTTCCAAGATATTTGAGCAGTTTTACAGAAGTATTTTGAACAGGTGACCAAGGGATTGCCAAAGAGTCCTGGAGGAAGCATTCCATAAATGTCTGTCCCTTGCTTGTCTGAATGAAAGAAAACAAAATGTCCTTGAACCTTGAGGGCCAATTAAGTCCTCCATTTCCCCCCCTTAATTTAATTCAGCAATTGTTAGAAAGATTTTCTTAAGTGAGAAGGCCACTTAAATCATTTCTAACAGAATTATTCCACTGATAAGGGGAAAGTTTTGTGAGGGAAGAAATAGCTGTAAGAACTACTTTTGAGCAAATCAGCAGCTCCTGAGGAAAGACTAAACTATTCTCCCTTTTTTAAAATAAAATTCAAAGCTTTGCAACTGCATTTTAAAAAAATGAATGT